TAAATAGCTTGCTTCACCTTCTTAATCATTGTATCCCACATATCATACACCAAATGAAGACATGATGTATCGGTGTCGGTGATCCTTATCATTTCATAAATTGGGCTAGTGAACTCAAGAATAAAATCTATTTTGTCCCACCATAAATCATCGAGGACTTTTTCTTTCACAAATTAAGCTTTTCCCACATCATTTTCTCTATACAAGCTCCATCGATCACTAAGGACCATGTCGGAGGCCTCTCTTAACAACCTTAAACCTCTTCAACATAATAATCCATGAGGCAAATCTTGTGTCGGCAATCGATAGGAGCTTCATCTTTGAATAATCATTAAACATGAAAAGCCGTATGGAGTAGTTCATGATAAAATTCTTCATAAACAATGCATCATTGGAGATCTATGTAATCCAATGTAATTGTGCATAAGCCACGGCATTTTCTTCCGTGTTCCTAGCCGCACATATTCTTAATAGCAATATTGAGTGTATGGACTACACAAGGAGTCCAAAATATGTGAGGCCAAGTGCCCTCCATAAGCCCTCCCGCGACCTTGCATGCCGAAGCATTATCGGTTATGATTTGGATGCTATTTTTCGGTCTGTGATGCACTTTTTTAACTGTGCTTGGATAAAATACTTATTCTTGACTTCTCCCTCGACATTCACGACATTCAAGAATATTAGCTTACCCTCACATACCGTCATAAAATTGATGATGGACCTCCTTTGTGCATCCACCCACCCATCACTACAAATGGAGACCCCTTCTGTTGCCATGTGCCTCTGATGGACTCCATCAACCTCTCTACGTAAGTTTTCTCATGTTGTAAGACAATGGTCCTCATGAAATTGTAACCGGGAGGCTTGTAACCAGAGATTGGATTGCTTACGGTATATGCAAAAGTCTTGACATAATATGGATTTCTTGTCAAGTTGAAGGACAATCCACTGATGAAGAACATCCTACCAATCAATGCATCCAATTCCTCCCTTACTCCCATGTTGAATGCTTGTTCCACGGCCGTACTTGCAGTCGAAGATGTAGGCAAAATTGGCGTCTTAGGCCTAGAACCCCCCAACCTCGCCTCCGCTTGATCCAACGTCCTATGAAACTCCCTTAGGTTATCGGGTGTTGACTTAGAACACATCTTAATTCCAGTCACGCTTATCCTCAAGAGGTGATTTTTAACTCTTGAGTGTGAACCGATAAACTCCTCTTTGCAATAATTACATCTTCATCTCCAATTTTCTCCTGACGTTCCCTCCTTTTCTCCAATTTAGTAACATATTTTCAAAATGGTCATTTGTCATCTTGTACTCCACTGCTACTAGAACTCCCTTCTTGTTCCATTTCTGTAAAATATAATAGCAATAACAATAAATTAAAAAATTAATAATAGTAAAACAGTAACTAAAATCGTATTTAATAGTAAATTAAAAAATAAAACCCTAATTAATTAACAGTAAATTAATAGAACACGAACCCTAACTAATTAATTGTAAATTAACATAAAACAATAAATTAAAATTAAAAAACAGTGAAATCCTACTATTGTTACAAAAAATGACAGAACATATTATGAATAACGAAAAAGTAAATCCTAGTTCTCGTTTATATGCTATTCTAACATTTTTATGTTACTCTCACATTTTTATATAGTAAAAACAGAGATCGGAGATAAAAACAGAGAGAATTAAATTAAAAAAATAGTAAAAAGAGAGAATCAGAGAGAGAAAGAGATAAAAACTGAAGAGAGATCGGAGAGAGGAATTAGAGATCGAAAGAGAGAGAGAGAGAGAGAGAGGAAGAGATCGGAGAGAGAGAGAGAGAGCGACTGAGAGAGAGAGAGAGCGGAGAGAGAGAGACTGAGAGAGATCGAGGGAGAGAGAGACAAAGAATGAGAGAGAGAGAGGGACTAACCTTTAGGGGGTTTGGGTTGCTGAGACTGAGAGGACGATGAGGACACGAGGAAGCTGACGGGGATGATCGAGGACGACGAAGACGATCGAGAGAGATGGCGGCTGTTCTTTTTAGTCGGGATCGATCGAGAGACTGTTCTTTTTAGTCGGGATCGATCGAGAGAGCAGACGAGCCGATCGGGTAAGTTAAAACTAGGGTTAGGGTTTGGGTTTGGGTTTGGGTTTTCGAGTTTTGGGTATACAGATTTTTATTTTTTCCCTCTCAGCCGTGTCGGGAGAGAAACCACCGTGTCGGGAGCATGTCTGCGGCAAGTCAAAGTGTTGACCCGTGTCAGCGGCGTTGACCGCGTGTCCGACGCGTGTCGAACGTGTGTCCGCGTCCAACGCGCATGTCGGACGCGGACTCGAACGCGGACTCGGGGCTTGTTTCCGAGTGTCGGTGCTTCATAGCTCTTTACTATTCTTTGAGACTTCTCTTTAAGAGGATACTTTGTTCATCATAACATCAATCACCTTCTGTCTACGAAGATAAGACTCATCATAACAAGAGCTTCCCCCATACCAATCTCGATGACCAAACAAGCATACATTTAAAAAATGGCAATGATATTCATGTGGTCGACGGAGGCATAATCACTTTCATCGCTACAACAGATCCCCCAGAAATAAAAATTCTGCGATATTTTGTATTTTTTTGTTTCCCATCAAAAATTGAATAGAATGGCAAGTTCATCTGCCTCATCTTTTGGTGAGAAAACAACATTGTGCTGCATTTTTACTTTTGTCCATTATGTAATTTTTAAAAGAGAAGTAAGAAATTTTAAATTTAAGAATGCGATAGAACTGTGGAGGAATGAAAATAATAGAACCTTATAGAGAAAGAGAAAATGAATTTAATGAGAGAAGAAATGGACAAAATGTCTACTCAATTCAAAATTACCAATATGCCCAACACAAATCATAAATTCCCTAAAAACTCAACTAATGATTAAGGAAATTTCAATCATTTCTTCACTTTTGCCTACCCTCAAAATGATTTTTATATATTAGTATAGATATCAACCTCCATCCGCTATTACCTCGCCTAACAGATCACCTACATATTGAAGCAAAAATATATACTAATTGAATATGTAAACTATAGAATGAGCAGCGTGTCTACATGTGACTGTGCTCATGTATGTGCGCCTGTGTGGAGTATTGTCATGCTCGCCTACCAAGTTCATGCTATGCAGTGAATTGCACAATCCAGTCCCTCAATTTTGAACATTGAGTTAAGTATATAGCTTGATAATTGTTCTACAAATATAATATAATAGTAACTTTTCAGCTTTCCCTAACCAAGGTTTGAAATATCAGTCAGTACCACATCTACTGGCCAGATAAGAGATTTTAAGTGTACCACTATTGCTAGTACTAATTAATAATACCTAATATAGGAAGACATATGAGGTTGGCCAAATAAGAGATTATAAGTGTACCACTGTTGCCAGTATTAATTAATGATACCTAACATAGGAAGACATATGAGGTTTGACGTACCAAAAGTTGATTTAAAAGATGTATATTGGAAAAAAGGAAGTCAATGAGAAAGCTCATGATATGACTATGAATCATTTAAAATAATAGTTAAAACCCCTCTTTTGAAAATCAGAATTTTCAAAGTCGCCAACCCCTACTGTTGAAGTCTCGAAGATAAATCTTATCAAGTAGAAAATAAGTAGAGTTTGGTGGTTGATGGAGTACTCTTTGTTACATTCGGTTTACTGAATATAAAAAACCATATTATATTAGGTGTTAACTTACTGTATTGGTTTTGATCCACAATTTGGGTTGCAACAACTGACACTTTTTAACTTGGAATCAAATCTATAACAGATCTTGATCCCTTTAATGTTACTGGTACTCGTTAAGCCTAAGCTACAAAAAGCAAACTTAAAGTTGATTTTCTTAAAAAATTAACTCTATGCGAGTTAGATTAATAATTCAAACACCATATTAATTTAAACAATTTTCCACATATCAACGGCTGGTTTATACAAATATCGATTGGGACCAAGGTTTTAAAATTTGAATATCGAGGAAATATCAAAAGACCAAAATTCATATAGGATTAGGGATATCAAGGAAATATCGGAGATATGTGGGAAATATCGGAGTGCTATATCAGATGATATGCATATATAAAATAATTTCCTGAAATGTAATCTAACCATAATCAACATAATCAATGAAATCTAAACATACAAAAATGTAAAGCATATATGTTTAGGATCACTAATAAACATTTTTAAATAAATAGAAGTCCATATCGACATTGCTACATTTTGGTTGTTTTTTTAGGCTGAAATGTCACTTGATATAATGGGAAAATCATAATATGTATCCCAAAAATTGCCAAAATAGTGTTGTTTTGCAACAAGCTATATAAAATGACATATCGGCCAACATACCGGCTTGATATATCAGTCGTGTCAAGTATATACCGCCAAAAATTGCCAATAAGCGGTAGAGGATATTTAGACCAGTCATTTTGCGGCAAGCCTTATAAAAGGATATATTGGTTGATACATCGTGCCATATCGGGGATATGTAAAACAATGACTTGAGACTTAATCTAACCTTCACTAATCACTTGAAAAAAAATAGCATGTCAATATGGGTCTGAATGTAACCCTCCAATGGCAACCCAATGTTAAGAACATTCGTGTGTGTTCGGCATATATAGACATAGATACACATTATTCTAAAACCAATTATTAATTTAGATGAGGGAAAACAAGTGCTCAATTTTGATGCCACTGACAATCAAATTTCCAAGGAAACAAATAAAGAACAATGGATAAAATGCCAGATTAACTGAAAATGATTAGGGAAAATGATACTGTCGTGTAGTTAATCACATCCATTACTAAGAATTTACCACATGTTAGAGTGGAAGGCCTAGTTCCATTATTTAACCTCCATGTTAAAACATGTTACCGGAAGAATAATCAAATGTAACTGATAAGAATCAAATTAACTCGAAGAAAGAAATACCAGATGATATTGATGCTAGAATGCTAGCTTCCAATACTTACATCTCAAGTATTCCTTTTAAGAAAGGGAACGTCGTCTCCAATTGATCCAGATATGTCAACCCTTGAACAAATGTTACTGGAATGAGGAAGATCACTATCAGGATAACAGATGCCACAAAAACGACCAGCTTGGAAAGCCATCTTCGCATGAATGATGTTGAAAAGAAAGGCCAGTAAACGTCATGAGGTTCAGGGGCTTGCTCTGTAACCCACTGTGTAGGGTTGATGGATTGTTGAATGTGGAAAGCAGCTGCAGCCCCATACCGAGATTTGAAGCAGACAAAAGCCGCAGGAACCTCCTAAATGTCAACAAGAATTAATAGCCACAATTAACACCAATTAATGATAGATCTTTCCATTGAACAACATAAACATGTAGGTACCTTGAGTAAGATTGTAAACGACAAGAAGTATTCCACTCCCCCCCCCCCAAAAAAAAAAAAAAATTAAATTTCCCCCCCCCCCCCCCCAAAAAAAAAAAAAAATTAAATAAAAATAAAAATAAAAACAAAAACACAACATTAGCTCAAATATTATGTCCAAGTAAACAACCATAATATTTGCTAACTAAATGTATGTTAAAAAGGACTAGGGACATGATAGAACCACGGGAATTTGTTGAACCTAGCAGCAATAGCAATGTAGAAAGAATTATACTTCTAACCTATGAAGAAAACAAGAAGCTGAAAACAAAATTATACACTGCACAGAGTATAATCAATTTGGACATGAGATAGGACAAAAACATCATACCTGTCCTGCCATGGAAATTCCAGATTGCTCTAGTCTCAAGTTCTCTTCTAGGTTCTCCAATTTCTTTGCATAATCATCTACAGGATCGACATTTCTTCCAAACCACCCTAGACAGCCACCACGCTGGGACCTTTGGGAAGCATCAGATGTGGATCTCAAATGGGTCAATCTTCTATATACATTCTTGGTATCAGTCTGATGAGGAAAAGTTAGAAGTTATTAACTGAAATAGAGTAAAAGGAAGCAAACTCATGTAGAAATGAGGGGGGGAAACAGTTGTGCCATAACCAAAAACTATAAACAGGAAAATGGAGCCTCAACTATCACCTCATCTAATTACATGAGACAGTACAACCGGTAAGCGCGTCCTTTTGGATGATACAAACAGTTCAAGTTTATCTTTACCTCCAAAAACTTGAGGTTACAAGAAAAACTATACAATTTAGAGATATCTAACGCGCTGGTCAAGTGATCACATGTGTTTTATTGTTAAGTAATTGTCCATTTTGCCACTACTTAACGAGCAATCTCCATTTTTTCGAGATGAAAGGAACAAACAGTTTGAATCATCCAAACAAGAATTGGTTCACCA